TATACCATCTAGAAATTTTCTATAATGACTGGTAGAACAATATCTGGTCATCAGGAGCTGAATCAGATCAAAGGTCCAAGTCTCGGGAAGCATAGAAAGATCACTTAGTCAAATTACTAAGCCTTCTGTAGTTTTATTATTTACCATGTGCCTTAAAGACTATTAGCAGTTATTGGACCAGTTAGTTTTTTGTTTAGTTTATGTTTTTCAATAAGTAATAGTTTGTTATTCTTAAGGGAGGAAGCTACTATCCTTAAAGAAGCAGTTATCCTGTACTGTCATGCCTTAAAAGGACTGTTCTGATTTCAGTAAAGTTATGCGGAGATCTGTATAAGTTTCTTAAATCTCTAACTTAAGGAGATCAGATGGTTTTCTGTCAATGAGCCCTAACAATTAGACATAATAGGTAAAAAAGGCAGAAGAAACCAGAAGCACTCTTTTTTTTAAAATAAAAATATGATATATCATTAATTACAAGCACCAAAGAGGTGTCAACCCGTATACAAAATTATTTACATATCTATCATTAATAATGTGATATGCCACATTTCAAAAATATTAACAGTGTTAAGTGTACAATTGCTGGAGGCCCTTGATTGAACACAATTGAATTTACTAGGTCCCTAATTGAATATGTTAGTCCCTTGATTGCGCATAATAAAAAGATGGACTCTCAGATTACACATTTGTGCAAAAACATTTAGCCTAAAAGGATAGATACCTGCTTAAAATGCCCATGAACTAATGCTATTGTCCAAATAGTATTATTGCATCTCGATCGAATAGCTTGTGTCAAATATGCATTCCACACAAACATGTTATCATACAGCGTTCCTTCTTCACCCGATGATAAGACATTTTTTTGCAAGCTTTGCATTATAGGATAAGTATAACTATAGAAGAAGTCTTTGGTTAAATCAACACTTGACAAAAGTTTTTTGTACCTGCAAATAAAGCAAAAGGACAAAATGAGACCATGAAAAGCTATATGAGTTGGGTGAATGATTCTCGCAGCAATTGTGAACAGAGAAGACATGCAATTCACAAACTAATGTATCAGAATGGCACAGGAAAATATTTCAAAAAATAAAAAAGAACGGCACAGGAAGAGAGTGTAAATATTGAAATGAAAGCTCATTAAGGGCTTCCAATTAATAGTTAAAAGAGATTGTAAAAAATCCATCCAGAGCAAGATGAAATGATCATCTAAAGAAAAATGGATAACTTCCTGTCAGAAGTGGTAATAACCCCATAAGAAAAATAAACATGTGAACGGAAAGTCAGCCAACATGGTCAAATCATGGTGTTTCTAATTTCTAGATGCCTAGGCAACTAAATGATGTTCAAATGGAAATCAAATGTTACTACCATAAGTTTTGGAGCGGATCCCGCTAGGTCCAAGAAGCTAATATGTTTATGATTTCCAAGGTATCAGTGAAGAACCAAGGACTCGGCTTTCAAAGAATTATCCTCTTCCAAAGCCCCAAAAGCAAAAAACAATCAGTTCAGAAATCTTTGGATCTGAAACCATTAAGGGATAATTATCTTCTCAAGTGATCTTACCATTCATATCAATGTGCTATTTATAGCCTTACAAGAAGATTAAGTTGTGGAGCAATAATAGTCCAAGAATACAAAAGTAATAGTTTTTGCAAAAGAAATAACAAATTAAAAAGACCTAGTTGGCTTGATAATATTTAACGGGCTACTTTGTCAAAGTAATATTGACTACAACAGCGCACAGGTTTTGGTCCAAGGATAGTTATCAAGCCAATATTTGCAGAAGTATTTTAGTATGAGTTATCTTACCATAACAGCATACCAATTTTTTATTCATTTTGTCATGTTATAAATTTATTTTGGTTATGAAGGAGTAAG